AGGTTAAAAAACAATAAGTTTAAAGGTAAACTACCAACGACTCAAGTTGGTTGTTACGTTTTGTATTACAAAAAAAAGGTTTCATATGACACGATTATTTTTACTATTAAAAGTACTTTAAAAATTACAATTGACTATATAAAAAAAAGATCGTCGCCAATTATATTTATCCTAATAACAGCCAATCAAAACAAACTTCCGCTAGCTAAGTCCAATCTAAAAGTCTAAAAAATGTTAAAAAGATCGGAAATCAGAATCAGAAATCATCGATTTCTTGATTATCAAATTTCACATTTTTTTGCAAATTTTTGGTTTGTTACACAAGATCCTGTAATTTTATTGGATCCGATCTATGAAATTTAAGATCGGAAGTGATCTTCAGCCCGGAATTTGCTTGACATAAGGGTACCCGAGTGCATCAGTCTGGTCCGGTCTGGTCCCTAAGAGGACCGTTATCATAGGCGAAATTATTATCTGTGCTCGGTTTTTGCTCACGTGATAATTATCGTATCAAATTCAATGAACTACGTATGCTCGACCAATCAAAATTGATTATATATATGTAAAAAATTTGGTTTCGTAATAGGCGGGACAGGTTTTTCTGACTTTAGGTGTAGTTTTCTCGATAATTACCTAACCAAATTCAGTCAATTTTTTTTTTATTTTAATTTTACATAATTGTAAAGTTAAAATAAAAATTTTTTTTATCAATTTTGTAAAGTGGTTGTTGGGAAAATTTTGCTCAAAGTCTTAAAAAATTTAAACTTATTTGATAGGTGGAGGTTTTTTTTTAAACTAAGAGAAATTTTCTCGACAACCACCTAATCAAACTGATGAATTTTTTACTTTGGTTCTGCAAATGTGTAGAATTAAAATAAAAAAATTCATTGAATTTGATAGGTAATTGTCGAGAACAAGAAACTTCGAGGCTTAGGAAAATCAGTTCCGTTTGTTGAGTAATTGCTTCTAAAAAATTTTTTAGATCTTTGAGAAAGCTTACCTAATAAAATTCAATGAATATGTTTTATTTTAATTCTACGAGTGTGTGGAATTGAAATAAAAAAATTCCATTGAATGTAGTCGGGTAATTATCGAAAATCTTCTCTCAAAGCTTAAAAAAAAACTATTCTATCAACAAAAAATTTTAAAACATTAAGTGAAGTTTTCTCGACTACTACCTAATCAAATTCAATGAAATTTTTTTTATTTCAATTCTTGAAATGTGTAGAATTGAAATAAAAAAAATTCATCAAATTTAGTTATGTGGTTACCAATAAAACTTTAAATTTCGCATGATCACCATCACGAGACCATAAACCGAGCACATAGTATTTACGGTCCTTCGGTCCCACACTATGATTATATCAATTTTAATGCATAAATTTTATTGACCAAAAATGACGTAATTATTTACTATCAGAGTAAATAGAAAATCTGGGACAGGTTAAACCCAATATCAGTATTCGGATTTCAAATATTAAATATAATAGGGGGTTTCAAAGTTAAAATCAGAGAATCTCATTTCATTTTTCCGATTTATAATTCAACATAGTAAAAATACTATTGAAAAAATCATATTTATTTTGAAATGCGTCACTTATTTGTTAACTTTGAAACCCCCTAATAATAAAGTTTCGAAAATACATGACTTGAATTTCTATATTTCACAAATAAGAATATAATAAAGCAATTAAGTTTTTATTTGCTCTAAAATACAGAATTATAAAAAGGAAATAGAACTATTTTCTTAACATTTTGCAGTATACCATTATTTTTTAACGGTTCTTTTTTTTATATACTTGTAATTCTTCTCGAGTTTGTTCTAGCTGCTGTCATCAGAAATAACTTTTTTTAGCTTTGGCTAATTTTCTTTCTATTCATTATACAGGAGTTGTTTACAAAATTAATAAATAATAGAGATACAGTAGTGTAATAAATTTTTTTATTAGTATATTGTGACTTTTCTATAATTTTAAATAAAATTTTCTAATATAGTTTTCTTTATCATGTTTCAATATTAAAATCGTCTTCGGTTTCAACCATTTTTACTACAGCATTATGCGTATGTAAATATTATTAATGCTTAATAAAGGGTCGAAAATAATTAATTTGAAGGTTTATTATTATTATTATTATTATATTAAAAAATGATATACATAACCTGTCCCTATACATGGGTGTCTAAATTATTTTTGAAAAATCGCATTTTTGGCAAACATTTCGGCATTGCCAAATTTTTAATATGAAACCCTTCAAAATAACTATTTTATATGGTGTATTTTGATGAAAAGAGTTCAAAAAATTTCGGCAATACTTTCGGTAAATATGAAAATTAATTTTGGCACTATATAAGACTAATTTCGGCCGTAATTACTTTTTTATTAGGATGGCAATTTAGGCACTGTCAGATGTAAACAAACATCATATGATCTACGTTACACCTGATCCTTTAACGGTACCACGGTCCTTATCGATCCCGGTCCTTTATTGGTTCCACGGTCCTTATCGGTCCCCGGTCTTTTTCAGGACCAATGCATCCCTATGTAGATCTGTAAAGTGTGTTCAAAAGTGCATTTACGTCAATCATAGTTCTTTCGTATATAGGACAATTTAGGAATTTTAAGACATTCAAAAACAAATCTTTTTATTTTAAAAACCAACGTTATTAACATGGAACTTATCGCCATTATGTTATTAGTTTAAAATTTGTCAGTTCCGTGATTTTTGATACTATGAACCAGCTTGTACATAGAATTATATCTCATGAAAAAAGTTAAATATACAATTATTAATAGATCCAATTATAATCTTAGTTTGCACATAATATTTTCAGTCTGATTTTTTGATTACAGGATTGAGTTTAAATAAAATTTTAAATATCAAAAATAATTTCACGCGTGACAAATATGTATCGTATTACATAAATAAAAAAAATTATATATATTTTTTTATCTTTATGCTTCCATCCAGTGGTAAAAAAAATATGACTGGAAGGGTCTAATGACAACATACGTCTGGAACCTAAATATCTTCCTGTTTTATCCAGTTGGTTCCAGTAATCCTTCCAGTTTCAGTGAAATTTACTGGACCGGTCTAGCAACAACACTGATCTATATACTAAAAAAAATAAATTTCTATTTAATTAATTAATAATCAATTCCAGTAATTTTGAAATTTTCTCATCCAGTAAGCAGGATTGTATACTATGTCATATGATAATCGTGAAGAAGCTCCACACTTGCAACCAATAGAAGCAGGATCTACCGCTTCATATGGATAAATGAGGATTAATGCTTATAATTTTTACCATAAAATCTTCTGTTCAAATCCAGTTTTATATAAATTTATACACAATCATACAAAATTTTCAATCTCCCATATTTTCACTATATTATAGATAATTAATAGGGTGAAAATAAATTAGTCTCATGTCGGATATTATGTCTTGTATATGGAAATCACGATGGATTGACATCGATAAAAGTTTATTTCACAAGAAAGCAAAAAAGATTTTCTTAAACAAGAGATATAAATAAGCACACTCTCTTACACGGTAATGGCACATACTGTATTAAACAATCATAATTTCAGCATGAATCATAATTACTTTATTATTTTATTTCTTGCAATCTTCCTTATACAAATTGAAAAAATCCACGGCGGATGTCGTCCTGTTGGATATGGTGATCAGACTAAGGGTGGTACGTATGTTAATTTTTGTTCAAAATACTCATTTTTGTTCAAAATACTCTAGTAATAAAAAAATTAACTCCTTTTTTTACATAGGTTCTGAGATTCAAAAAGTGACATTTTCATCAGGAAGAATTACAGTTACGACTAATATCAAAGAAAAGTTTAATGGAAATGTTCAATATACGGAGGCAATCGGTCACTTTACCTTCAATTATAAAGACCACAATGGCAAAGATGTCAGTGTGCGTATTAATAAGAAGCCTGAGTTTGTTAATGAACATTATGATTGTAATCCTAACGTTAACCCTAATGAAGTTAATCCATACACAAAGATTTGGGAATTTGATTCAGCATTAACGCCTCCATCTGGAACAGATGTTGCCGTTTATCTATCAATATATTGGCAGTGTGCTGGTGGCACCTCTGGCAATGGTGCATTAGACTGTAACCATGAAGATGTTTCCTATCAAACAAAAGCGTGATCACAATGATTACAATATTTAATATTTTGTTGTTTTTAGTATTTCACATGTTTTTATTGTCATATCTTATTGTTATCAATCATCGTTATATAATTTAGGAATATATTTATTTCCTTAATATTTTTTTTTATATATGTGTAATAAATTTATTTTTTTTCTGAATTGTTTATTTATTCACTCTCGAAAACAAATAATCTTTCCATTAATCGATTAGAAATAAGTTATTATTTATTGTATTCATTGGAGAATAGAACAAGTATCAATATTCTCCAAAAGAAATTAATAAATATGGTATATCTTACAACCGGCTAACCTATTTCAAGATGAAAACTCGCTTTGGAACTTAACGTTTGGATTTATTAAAAAAATTTGAACGTTTTTATTCATATATTATATAATGCGACTAACAAATAAAACTTCTATTTGTTTACTACATTATTATATCACGCTGTTTCATAGCCAATTTAGTGATATACTGTATAATGATCAAAGTATCGTAATAATTTATATAGAAAACGATCTTCTATGTATCTATACAGTATTCATTTTTCTGCTTTAATTTCTTTTCCTTGGCATCACGCCTCTCATTATATTCACTTACGTACATTCATGTAAAGCAAAAAGAGAGTGAAATAGTGATGGCGCAAAAACTTGGCTCCCATGATTAATTCAATAAAAAAAGATATCCTACTTTTTGTCTAAAAATTAATGTTTGAATTAATACAAAGTAGGACCAATTTCCCTTGCAGATTTATGAGTTTTTTGTAATTTCTGGTTTTTTTTTTCGCCTTTATTTTTTTGCTTTGCATTTGTATGACCTTTCAATCAGATTGAATAAAAATCGCGGGACCGCCAAAATTTTGTGCTATCACTATTTCACTTGCAAGAAGAAATAAGTATCTTTATGATTATATAATCTTTACTTCTTTTGGTCCATGAATTTCTTAAACCGATACTAGAAACATATATTAGTCAAAAAAGAATAAAAATTACCGTATAAGTAAAATTTAACTAAAAATCAGTAATTTATTTGAAAAATTATCGAAATAAACCAAAATAAATGAAAATGTGTTTTCGAACTCTGTGAAATTTACAAAATAATTGCCCTGTAAAAGTATTCGCTTTCGTTAAAATAAACGATGTCAAAAAGACATATACTATAGTCTACTCTTCAAAGAAAACTTGAGTTAAATAGCGATGAAATAATCTTTTTTATTTGTTAGTTTATTAAATTAAGGTCTACATATAATATTAGCGATTATTTAAAATGTGGACGAAATTATTCAACACTTAAAAAACTATGATGACATTACAGAATATCTGCTGCTGCTATTAAAAGTTGATTTTTTTTTCAAAAAGTGAACATTTGCTTTCATTTAATATATAACTTTTTTTTTAAAAGAAAAAACAACAATAATAAATACAGTATTAGAAATAAATAAAGTACTGCAATTGTTCATTGCTAGATAAATTGCTTATATAAAAAATAAATATTCTTTAATTAATCGGCAAAACCGATATACGTTATTCATTGATTCACAAATAACACATGTCGATTCGAATTGACAGGAATCAATAAATGACACATAACAATTGCCATATTCAAGTCAGCAAGATAATTACTAACGCTAAGGGCGTCCTCAAGCACACCATCAACAAAAATTTGATCAAACTGTCCAATCAGATTCGCATTTACTAATTTCTTCCCACAGTTGTGATTGGCTGGGATTATTCGTACAAATTTACATGTTACCTTCTAAACAAAACGCGACACCTCAGTTAAGGTTGAGGTTAGAGTTAGTAGGTAACATTATGCTAAAATTTTACAAGGAATTTTTTTTGTTAGTGCATAAAAGGTGATTTCTTAGGTGAAGTTTTGTGATAAGTGACTTTTCAAAAAAAAGCGATTGTTGTTTTGATCGTCACGTTACACCTGATCTTGCATCCTGATTGGTCCAATATCATTCTTACCCTAAATTGTGTTACAGAGGTGTTGTGCATAAATACAGTAATGGTGTAACTTATTTGCATCTAACATCATACGTACGTAATTTCAAAAATGAAAAAGTTTTTTGAAAAACTTTCAAATGATTGCCTTGAACTTCTTGAAGATAAAGAAGATTTTAACGTAATCATTAATGTTGGGGAATCACCAAATAATAAAATATTCCAAGCACATACTAATATTTTAAGATATAGATCTTTGTATTTTCGTAATGAATTAGCGAATATTAACAAAGATAAACATAACATTAAGACGATTAATTTAAACCATATTTCTATTCAACAATTTGAAGTAATTATTAGGTAAGCTATATAATTTTGCAGACTAGTAAATTAAATCTTATTTTAAAGGCATAGATCTTGCAAGTTCATAGGATGATAGTATATATTCAATGCGTATGTGAAAACTAATTTTGAATTATTAATTTTATAGATATATTTACGGAGGTGTGGTTTCGTTAGAAAATGATCAAGATGCATCATTTATTTTTGAACTCATCCTTGTTGTTTTTGAGTTTCATCTTGATGAATTGGCAAAGTATCTTGAAGCACAGTTAATTAAAGAAAATGCACACTGGCTTCGTTTAAAATTTGCTCATATTTATCATAAAAGTTTTCAAAATGAAAAACTTCAAGAATTACAAAAATGGAGCAACAATATTTTGTCAAAGTATCCGGATAAGATTTTTGAGTCAGAAAATTTTACTACTCTTCCAGAAAATGCGCTAATTTCACTCATTAAGCGAGATGATTTACAAATGGATGAAGAGAAAATTTGGGATCATGTTATAAGATGGGGAATTGCTCAAAGTCCAGATTTGCCGACTGATACTAAAGATTGGTCTCATGAAAACTTTTTAACCTTAAAGACTACTTTACAGAATTGTTTACCTCTTATTCGCTATTTCCAAATGTCTAATGAAGATATTTTTGACAAAGTGAAACCATATAAAAATATTCTTGAAGAAAAACTTTGGGATGATATATTACAAAAATTTCTTATTCCAAATAGACAAATATTATCAACAATCCTTCCACCTCGTAAAATTTTAGCACAAACATTACCATCCAGAGTAACTGAACCATTTCCTTCAACGGTTATCAATGAGGATCATGCAGCAGAAATAGCATCATGGGTTGATAAGAAAACTGAAGCATATTCAGTAACTAATAATCCTTATAAATTTAAATTACTCCTCCGTGGAACAAGAGATGGTTTTACTGCTCAATCATTTTGGAATTTATGTAATGGGCAAGCCCATACTGTTGTAGTAATGAAGGTTAATGGTACTGATGAAATTTTTGGTGGATATAATCCAATGCAATGGGATAAATCAGTTAATTATTATGTGAAATGCAATGACAGCTTTATTTTTTCATTGAAAAATGGTACTATTCAATCCTCTATTTTAAGTCGCGTTAAAAGAGATTGTTCACCAAACGCGATTTATTGTGATTCTAGATATGGTCCAACTTTTGGTAGTGGTTTTGATATTTGGATGGGTTATAATTCAAATCAAAATAAGCAATGTTATTATCAAAGTCAACATTCATATGAAAAATCAATTAGAAACCAAGAAAGTGGCACAAATTATTACTTTTGTGTAGTAGAATATGAAATATTTCAAGTTCAGAAACAGTAGATATCCAACGGATAGTTTATTCAATACGCATACAATGTCCCTGATTATAATACTTTATTATGCACATTAATGAAACATGTACTAGTGATTAACACCAATAAATGGTAAAAAAAATTTTCTATATGGGGTAACCCATATAAAAAGGTGGCTTCAAGATAATTATGTGATTTCAAGAAAATTATTGTTAAAATTGGTATGTAATTATCACTTATATATAGTATTAAAGTAATTAAACTAAATTTATGTATATTTTTATTAATAAATTTGACAATTAAAAATTATTTTTATAAAGATAACTATTAGTT